GGAGCCCACGACCCGGGCATGTGCCCTGACTTGGAATCAAACCATGACCTCTTGGCTCATAGGTTGATGCTCAACCACTGAGCCACACCGGCCAGACAACTGGCTCTCCTCTTCCACCCCTGGCCTTCATGCCCACCGTCTCCCAGGTGGGAAATGGCAGTGAGCGGGAAGCCTCCTGGAGCAGCCCCCCCCAGCCCACCGCTCAAGGACCTCGGACGTGGTGGGTGTAGAAGGGGTGCACAGCTGCAGAGGTTAAGGGCGTACCTGCTGTATAGGAGTGTACTTGACCGTGTAGGTATTATCGTGGTGGTCGATGATGTCCACATCGCGCACTGCTTCTCCCTTGGCCGTTCCCGAGAACTGGACATCCAGTTTGCCCTTGCCAGCGGCTTTCGCATTGACCGTGAAGTGGGTGGGTTTGCCAAGCTCAACACCTAAGGAGACGTGGCAGCCATTAGGGGCACGTTGCCTCCATCCCCCCTGAGGACCCCGACCTCTCCAGAGGGTGGTCATCCTCACCTGTGCGGCTGAGGCCAGGGCCCTCAGCCTTCACCTTGCTGGCATCATGGGAGGGTTCCACCTTGACCCGGATGGGGCTGGTAGGCGTAGCCTGCAATGGCGGGAGAAGGGGACTAAGAGAAGAACAGCACCCAATGCCCAGCGGTGTTGGGAGTGGGAAGCAGCGACACCCACCTGGTCAGCAAAGAGGACCATGATGGTGTAGCTGCCAGCCCCACGCGGTGTGTACTTGACCGTGAAGGTGTCGTTGTCATTGCGAATGATGTCAAAATCGATGTCGGCCTCAGCGGGGCCCACCACACCAGGGGCACACTTGATGCCAATGCTGACATCGCCTGCAGCAGGGGAGGGAGTAAGGGCTGGGACCTCATGTGGATGCCTCATCCACATGTCCACCCACCTGAGGCCGGCGCCTTACCTTGGCCCGCCTCCGTGCAGTCCACGGTGAAGTAGGTGGGCTCATGAGCCTTGAGCCCTGTCTTGGCCACTCCCGGGCCGTACACCTTGACCTTGTTTGGGTGGCTGCCGGCTCCCACGTTCACCTGCACAGGACAAGGAAAGGACCAGGGCATTACCAGCCTCATCGACTGCTGGCTGTCACGCAAAATGGTGTAACCATCTTGGGAAGGGACCTCAAATGATTAACCATAAAATGACCATGTGATGCTGTGATTCGGCTCTTATGCATCTGCCTACCCAGAGAGATGAGATCACTTGTCTGCATACTTGTACCCAAATGCGCCCAGTGGCACCACTCACAACAGCCAAAAGGGAGAACATAACAAAGGCCCATCAACAAACAACTGGGTAAATACAATGCGGTCTAATCCATACAATGGACTATCATTCAGCCATGAAAAGGCAGGAAGTACCAATTCAGGCAGCCATGGAGAATCACAATGGAAACATTATGTTGAGTGAAAGCATTCAGACACAAAATGCCAGACATTGCATGGCTCCATCACTAGCAAATGTCTAGAACAGGCAGATTGCAGAATAGTGGTTGCTCAGGGTTGAGGGAGGGGAATTTTGGGGGGTAGAGGAGCTTTGGTTTGGGGATGATGAAAACTATCTAGTCTTGCCCGGTCGGTCAGTGTGGCTCAATCCCCAGTAGGGGGTGTACAGGAAGCAGCCGATTAATGATTCTGTCATCATTGATGTTTCAATCTCTCCCTCTCCCTTCTTCTCTGAAATCAATTAAAAAAAACAAAACCTTATCTAGTCTTCAATTGTGTTATCCATCGCACAACTCTGAATGGATTCAAGACTACCAAGCTATATACTTGGAATGGGTGAGCTGTCTAGGATTTACGTTTTATTTTTATTTTATTTTAATATATTTTATTGATTTTTTTTACAGAGAGGAAGAGAGAGGGAGAGAGAGTTAGAAACATCGATGAGAGCGAACCATCGATCAGCCGCCTCCTGCACAGCCCCCACTGGGGATGTGCCTGCAACCAAGGTACATGCCCTTGATCAGAATCGAGCCTGGGACCCTTCAGTCCGCAGACTGACGCTCTATTCACTGAGCCAAACCGGGTAGGGCTGGGTTCACGTTTGATCTAAGAGAGCTATAGGTAAACCCGGGACAGGTGCCCTAGGAAGATGTGATGAAGGGCTGCCCAAGGCCCGTGGGAGGGCCGGCTCACCCGGAAGGGGCTGTTCGGGATGCTCACGCCGCCCCAAGACACCATGGCCGTGTGCTTCACGGGCTTCCTGGGCACGTAGGAGCAGCTGTAAGTGCCGTTGCCGTTGTCCTTGACTGATGCCTCCACGGGGCAGCCCTCGTTGTCCTGGAAAGTAGGTGGCCAACCAGTCAGTACCCAGATCTGGGTGCCTGCCCACCCCCACCTCTGCGCCACGAGTGGGCACCCCACCTGCACTTGAACCCGGAGAGGGGCCTTCCCGCCGAGCTTGGCGTCCACTGTGAACTCCGCCGGCTTGTTGACGGCCACGCCCGTCTTCTCCAATCCAGGGCCACGTGCCTTCACCTGATGGGAAGCCACCCAGATCTCAGGGGACCAAATGCAGGTCACCAAGGAAACGGGGTGGCAGGGAAACACCCCTGGGGATTGCAGCCCAGGGCCCAGCCCGCAAGGGGAGGCATCAGGGGGCCAAGACCCGGGCCAGGGGCACGTGGGCGTTACCCTGTCCGGGTGGAAGTCCTGAGGCGCCTCCCGGATGTCAGCCATGAAGGGGCTGAGGCGGATGTCCTCGCTGTTGCACAGCACGTGCACGGCATACTCGCCAGCCTCCTGGGGCCAGTAGCGCACATCACAGGAGCCATCGCCCTTGTCATCGCATTCGATCTTGGCCTGCGACGGGCCCTCCACGGAGAAGCCTGTCGATAGCCACCAATTCTATCAGTGCCCTGGAGCCTGGCAGGGGGCCCCAGGGTGCCCACGCTGCAGCCCCCAACTCACCCAGGGTGCCTACGTCGTCCCCGATGGCCTCCACCACGAAGTCCGCTGACTTGCCAACGACACCGCCCTCCAGGCCAGGCCCCCAGGCCCGAACCTTCTGATTGCCACACTCTGTGCCCACCTTCACCTCGAAGGGGCTGTAGAGAGAAAGCCACACGGGGGTGTGTGCTGAGGGGCACTGCCCTGGAGGGGCACGGCCCTGAGCAGAGTCGGGGGGTTACAGTGCATTGGTTCTGAGCACTGGGTTGGGGCCTCACCTGCGCCCGATGTTCTGGCCCCCCCACGTGATGGTGACGGTGTACGTGCCAGGCACCGTGGGGTAATACTCGAAGCCGTAAACACCATCCCCCAGGTCCTTCTGTTTCACGCGCTCCTCGCCCTCTGCCAGAGACAAAGGAGGGCCTCAGGCCTGCCCAGCAGCACCCTGGGGCGCCCACTGCCCACCTCGGCTGCGGGTTGACTTACTTGGACCCTTCACAATGACCTTGAGCTCCCCACTGCCCGCGCCCTTGGTGTACACCTTGAAGTCAGCGGTCTCCTTCACCCGCACGCCTTTGGGCTGGAGGCCCCGGCCCACGGCGCGGCAGGCGCTGGGGTTACAAGCTGTGGGCAGAGGGCTCATGAAGCCACCGGGGCTGACACCGGCGACCCCTCCCTTGCTGCTCCCCGCAGGGCTGGGCCATCAGGAGGAGGGTGGGGACCCTCAGAATCGGCCCCAGGAGATAGGGAGGGACATGCCAGAAAGAAATAAAAGGGACCCTGACCCCAGGACAGACCTATGGCCCAGACCAGGATGTGACAGCCTCCCCCCTCCTGCTCCACCCCAGCTCCCCGGCCCCACCCAGCCCGCCCCTCCCAAAGGAAGACAGATCCAAGTACCGTTGACCCTGTGGGCAGAGCAGAGAGCAGCAGGATTCTAGACAGCTCGAGCAAGTTCTTCCGAAGGTGAAAGCGTGAAGAGAAAGAGAGATGGAGAGGGCGAGAGGAGCAGGAAGAGGGGCCCCAGCGGGGGAGGAAAGAAAGCTCACCCCAACAGTGGAAGCAGAGACCCCGGGTGCCATGGTGGGGAGGGCTGGAGTGGGACCCTCCAACCGACCGTCCCGTGGGAGGCCCCAGCCATGGGGGACGGAGGTGGCCGGGCCCAGCCTACCTTGGCCAATAGTAACCGTGTAGGGGCTGCGAGGGATAGGCATGCCGGCGAAGGTGACGTGCACGGTGTGGGTGCCCTCCATGGTGGGCTGGTAGCTGCAGCGATAGGTGCTGTCACCCCTGGCCTCCAGCTGAGTCTCCACAGTGCCCTTCTGGCCGGTAGGGTCCTGGATCGTGACCTCTACGTCACCCGAGCCAGCTCCTGCCACAAAGTACCAGCTTAGCTGCCGGAGCCTCCAGGCTGGCTGCGCCCGGACCCCGGCAACAGTCTGCCACCCCAGAACCGCCTGCCCAGCCGCCTCCCCTCACCTGCGGTGAAGATCTCGAAGTAGGTGGTCTTGTTGGCGATGTTGCCGCTGGGCTCCAGGCCGGGGCCCTGGGCAGTCACTTTGCTGGCGTCGCCCTGGGACTTGTCCACGTACACCTCAAAGGGGCTCTTGGCGATATGCTGGCCAGCGAAGAGCACGGTGACCTGTGTCCGGGAGGGGCAGGCTGTGAGAGAGTCGGGGCCCCACAGCAGCTGTCCCTGCCGCCAGCCTCCCCCCGGGCTGAGGGCTCACCTTGTGAGTCCCCGTCACCTCGGGGACATACCAGACAGAGAAGGTACGGTTCTTGTCGTTATTGGCAGTCACTTTGGCCTGTGGTAACAAGGAGCCCGTGAGCCTTTGCTAAGACCAGAACCTTTATTTTTTTTTAAATATACTTTTATTGATTCCAGAGAGAGGAAGGGAGAGGGAGAGAAAAATAGAAACATCAGTGATGAGAGAGAATCACTGATCGGCTGCCTCCTGCACACCCCACACTGGGGACCAAGCCCGCAACTCAGGCCTGTGCCCTGACCAGGAATCGAACCATGACCTCCTGGTTCATAGGTCGATGCTCAACCATTGAGCGACACTGGCCGGCCAGGCAAGAGCAGCCCCTTTAAATGGAGGCACTGCAGTGCTCCGCCCCACCTGAAGGTGGCCCTACCTCCTCCTGGTGTCCAGCTGGGTCCTCCACATACACCAGCACCTCTCCCTGGCCGGCACTTCTGGTCTCCACAGTGAACTCTGCTCGCTTCTTCACCATATTGCCTGTGGGCTCGATGCCTGCCAAGGGAGGAGGACAAAGGCATGGCTGGCTGCTAGGGCCATGGCCTTCCCCCTCCCCCATCACCCTTCAGCAGCATCTCCTCCCGCAGCTCAGCCCCCTCCCCGCCATCCCCGTGGATCACTCAGAACTGGCTGAGTCAGTTCAGCGTGAACACGGGTGCGCGGAGCTTGGCCTTGGGCCCCAGCTGTTCCTTCGCTGTGAGACAGGCCTGGGCCTGTTTTCTAGAACTCTCGCTTGGGTTTGCCTGGGCCCTTCCTCCTGCGTGAGACCCTGGCGGGGTTTGGTCTCCACTTACAGTAAAGTGGTTCGCTGCTCCCTCCTTGAACTGGTCCCACCTTGGGTTGGTGGCTAGTCGCAAGTGGCCAGTTTGGACCAGCCCAGACCCATTCCCGTCTGCCTCTCGGGGGGGCATTTGAGAACCTGGCTGCCATGCCCCTGAAGACCCCCGGGGACCTCCAAGTTCCGAAAGGACGCTCTAGGCCCCGTCTCGCTCACCTGGCCCGTAGGCTCGGGCTTTCTTCGGGTTCAGTTTGGGTCTCAGGGGAGCCCCTGGCTTCAGCTTGGCCTTGGGGAACTGGGACAGGTAGGTCATGACGGAGTGTTCGTCCACGTTGGGGTCCACAATCTCCTCGGGGGTGATCACCTGTCACAGTCAAAAGACAAGAGCCATTTGGCCTCCGGGCCTCAGATTCCCAGGATAGGACCCCGCTCCCCCTGGGACTCGGTCCCTGGACAGCCCTGGCCGTCCAGGCGGAGCTGTACCTGAGGGATGCCCAGCCAGTCATCAGCCTGTTGCATGGCTTCCCGCGCATTGTTCACAGGCTTGCTGGCGTCCCAGGAATCCCAGTCAGGACACAGGCCTGCGGAACAAGAACCACTAAGTCTGGGGTCCTCCAGACTCCCCTGCAGGCCGTATCCACTATCTTTTTATTTTATTTCTTATATTTCTTTATTGATTTCAGAGAGGGAGAAAGAGAGATAGAAATATCAATGATGGGAGAGAATCATTGATCCACTGGGGATCGAGCCCACAACCCAGACATGTGCCTTTGGCCGGAATCGAACTTGGGACCCTTCAGTCTGCATGCTGACACTCTATCCCACATGTGTCAAACACAAGGCCCGCGGGCCAAATCCGTCCCGCCAGGCCTTGCAATGTGGCCCGCACCGCGCTGTCATCACTGCACTCCGCTGCGTTTCCATCACAATGACAGTTTATGACTGTTCAGTAAACCATTCGGCCCGCGATTTAGGCTGGATTTTAGATTTTGGCCCCTTCTCTGATTGAGTTCGACACCCCTACTCTATCCACTGAGCCAAACCAGCTAGGGCCGTATCCGCTATCTTACGCACAGCCCCAGCTCCAGCCCCGCGCCTCCTACTCCCAACGCTCCTTACCGGGGGCGCAGCTATCAACAAGAGCGCCCAGGGCTCTGCCACTCTGCCAGTCGCGGCTGAAGTTGGTGATGGGCAGCTGCGGCAGCTTGTTCTGGATCCAGCCCAGGAGCCTCTGCTTGGGCGTTTGCTTCTTGGCTTCTTCATCCTCCTCCTCATCCCACATGGGCATGGAGATGGAATAGTGCAGGATGAGGGTCCAGATGAGGCCCAAGATCAGCTTCAGGTTCCCATCCACAATGGCCTTGCTGTCTGTGGGGGAAAGGGTGGCGGTGTTGGGGAGCAGGGGGCCCACTCATGTGTCCCCGTGCACATGTGCACACGTGGGCTTGCGTGTGGGGAGGGGGCACACACAGGGTGCCAGGTGGCTCCCAGGTGGTAGGGAGCATGGCAGCACAGGGCACCCCATGGAGAGAGAGGCCCCCGGAGGGGATGTTGGTGGTTTCAGAGGGAAGGAGACTTTTGGGGGCAGATGACCCCCCATATAGTAGTTAGGGGTGTTGCTGGAAGCCCTGGGGGACAAGAGGAAGGACTGACGACAGCTGCAGGCGGAAAGCCCTGGAGTGAGCAGGATGAGTGCGTTGCAGCAACACAAGCAGGGGCCCGTCACGCATCACCACGGGTTTCCAGGCAACAAGCGGTAGGAGCGGATCGGCGCAGCCCTAGTGTGCCAGGATGCCAGGGCCCCTGACGGGGGCTAAGGAAGGGGAAGAGGAAGGCTGGTGGGTGGGGCAGTTGGGAAATACAACTACTGCCCCAGGGGGGGTGCAATGAGGCAAGGGAAGTGGAGGTGTTAGGCAAGACCCTTTGGGTGGAGGGTGCAAGCTCCACCCCGCACTTCCTTAGTGGCCCCCAACCCCCGCAGGACTAAGCTGGGAGTCAGGCATGGTCCCGGCACAGGGGAGGGGCGGGAAGCCCAATGGAACCACCAGTTGGGCCAATGGACTGTGGCTCACTGGGGCCCAGCAGGAAGATGAGGACACATTCTGGGGGCCCCCTCGCCCAGCCTGAGGAGGAAGGCAGAGCCACTGAGGCTGGGTTGGACGCCGCCCAGGGCCCAGCTTGAGAACTGGGGTAACGGAGGCCATGGGTGGGGTCCTTGGTCCCGCTGCCTCAGCAGAGCCCAACCGGCTGCTGCCTGCCCTCCTTGCCACCTAACGGGCTGCCGGGCTGTGGGGCTGTGGGCGGGCAGCCACCAAGCTAACCACAGGGGAAGTGGTTAGGGCGGGCACCCTACACCCTGTCACCATGGGAACCCCTCTGAGCTGTGGGACCCACCCAAGGCCCTTGTGGGTCTTGGTTTAAAGGGGTGAGGGGCTGGGAGTGGGGCTCAGAGCAAGGCCAAGCTTTCTAAGAGCTCATCTCTGAATCCCCTGCTGCCTCCAACCTACCCCAGCCCCCAATCAAAATACTTGTGTAGTGAGTCAACTTGGGGGTGGGGAGAAGGGGATGGACGCCATCAAAGGGTGATCAATGGCGGGCGGCCTCTGAGTCCAGTAGGCAGCACCCTGAGGAGTTGCTGAGCCACTCAGAGCAGAGTGGCCTCTGTCCCGCACCCTGGCTTGCACTGTCCCCAAATGGTGGGAGAGTGGAGAGGGGGCTTCAGGCTAGTGGTGACTGGAAGGCTCAGAGAAGACCAAATACACAGGACCTCCCACCAGGGCTTCCCACGAGGCCCCCATCCCCAGAGTCCTGGGTCCAGCAGAAGAGCCCTAACGAGGCCTGCGGCCCACTGTGACCCAGGAGGGGACACAAGGCCAAGCTCATCAGCCCTGGTGGGTCAGGCTGGGCCCACCCCCTGGTCCACAGGAGGCAGGCCTAGGGCCCTCCCCACGCCCCTCAGAAAAGAGAGAGGGAAGGGCGTAGGGAGAGTGCCTGGTTGGATGGCCCCGCCCCCTCCCACCCCCTTTCCCCAGCCCCGGGGCCAGCCTGCCCCCTCCCTCCCCTAATCACTGCTGCTTTCCAACATTTTTTTGCCTTATATGGCAAAGCTCTGGGAACTAGGCCTGCTCCAGCCAGCTCAAAAGAGAAGGGAGGAGGAGACCCCCCCTCAGACAACTGGGGTGTGGCCCGCCTCCCCACATCCGGTTGCCCCCCCACCCAAGGCTCAGAGATGACTCAGCTTGGCTAGACACACACTGGGACTGGGGGGTGGGCCTGAGCCTCCACAGGCATTCCAAAGAAAGAGGTGAGGCCCTGGAGGCCGGAGTGGTTGGAGGCACCTGAATCTTGGTCTTTCTCTCACTTTCTCAGGCTCAGCGTGGCCCGCATCGGGGCAAGGGGCCAACTGCAAGGTCCCTTTCAACTCTGGGAAAAAAAAAAAAAGTGCACGTCCCTTCTCTCCCTGTTGTACAATGCCGTTCTGGTGCCTGTCCCGGCGTGGGTGCCACTTTAAGAGCCAGGGATGCTACAGCAGGCCCGGTCAATGCCAGCATCACCAGTCCAGTGACACGGACACTGGGCTGGCAGGGAGCCCAGCACACGCTGGAGTACCTCCCAACCCACTCCTGCATTCAAGAGGCAGAAAAGCCAAGTCCTACACGGAAACAAGAGTTTGGCCCAAGTTCAAGAGTAATTCAGTGTCCCAGCAGACGACAAACCAGCTCCCGTCACTGGCTGACACCCAGAACTCATTCCAGGTACTGCTTTGCTAGCCATGCCCTCCTCTGGCCTCCTAAGTTCCCTGGGGGAGATCTCAACTGGGGGTGAGAGCCATCTCTGAGGAGGGGGGGCATCTTCCAAGACCAGAAACAGCTGAGCGCCTTAAACAATGGAACCCACAAACTCTCACTCCCTTGTTTAGGAACCACAGGGAAACCTGAAAAGTCAGAAAGCCCTCTCCCAACTGCGGTGGGAGGTAGAGAAACCGGGCCTCCCGCTGCACAGGGATGGGACGCTGGGCGCCGGGCAAGAGCCTGGCCAGTGCCCACCCTCCAGCCCTCTCCCACAGCAGGCGAAGGGGCGGGGGCACGGCCTGCGGAGGATGTGAGCTCAGCCTGGGCGCGGGCCAGCCGGGGCGCGGCGGGCGGGGGCGCGTAGCGGTCCGCACAGCGGCGGGGCCAGCCTGCCAGCGCGCCTTTGTTCTCGAGGCCCGGCCCCGCGCGGAGCCCCTCGGCCGAGGTGGGGCGGGGGGAGGGGGGGAGAGGGCCGGGAAAGCACTACGACTCGGGGAGGGTGGCCGGGAGGGGTCTACCCGGGGGAGATGGAAGGACATGCGGAGCCCCCCGCCCTCGCCCTCGCCCTCCCGGCGCCACGGGGCGGCACGCGCTCTCACCGATGGACACGAGCTTGATGTTCTCGCGGTCCAGGAACTCGAGCGCCACCGACACGTTCTCCAGCTGCATCTGGCGGAAGGTGGGCCTCTGGTTGTGCTTGCGGTGCATCTTTTTCTGGCTCAGCACCTCGAGCAGCGCGATAAGCCGCAGCCCATCACTCAGGTCCGTCTGCAGGTTGGCGATGCGCTTGCTCACGCATTTGAGGTGCTCGTTGCACCAGCGCGTGAAGGTGTTCTGCTGGATTTTCTTCCACGGCGCGTCCTCCGCCAGGT